AGGTGGCTCAGTGGTAGAGTGCTTGCCTTGCATGCATGAGGCTCTGGGTTTGATTCCTCAGCACCACATAAGCAGAAAAAGCCAGAAGTGGTGCTGTGGCTCAAGTGTTAGAGTGCTAGCCTTGAGCTGAAGAGCTGAGGGACAGCGCCCAGACCTAGAGTTCATGCCCAGGACTGGCAAAAAAAAAAAAAAAATTATTAACAGTGGCCAAGCTCATCTCTTTCATGTTTACAACATGAATCGCCTTATTGTGACAGCTATAAAACTAAAGCACACACTATGTTGAAAATGAACTATACAACTTGTGAGACTGGCAGGAAGAAAATTGAGAGTACAAGGGAAGGGGTGACATTATCCAAAAGAACTTCTTACCTGACTTATGTAACTGTAACCCCTCTATAATCACTTTTATAATAACAATAAAAAATTAATTTAAAAAACTGAAGCACAGAGACTAGATAAAATGCTCAAGAACACACAGTAGAGGATAAAGGTAAGATTAGCAACCAAGTCTCTCTATATTACATTTTGCTTCCTCAGGGGAGGAAAATATTCCCTAGTTGCACTTTCTTTTTGTACAAAGATGAAGACGTTTTCTTTAGAACATTTTTTAATCTATGTGATATTAGCCATGCTATCCTGAATGATACATTTCTGTCCTCCTGGCACCAAGACTACATATGTCCTGTCAAAGGGGCCAGTGGCTAGGCTTCAGGAACTTGAGAGACTCTGCAAGCTCCAATCTAGTCTCTCCCCCAAACCTTCACAACTCAGGCATTCCAGTTGCATCCAGTTGCACTGTGCTTAAATGGTCCCATATTAATAGGCAGAGTACTGTCCAATTGAGCTTTCCAGAATGACAGAACTACTTTCTATCTAGTCTATAGCTGTGCTGTCATATAAGGCAATAATAGCCACATATAGCTACTAAACATTTAAAGCGTGACTAGTATGGCTATCATAGCCAGTAGCCATTTGACAGTGTAGGTATCCCCTTCCATTGTCTTTAATGTTGACACTTTGACATTTGCCCTGGAAATATTTTCAACAAGATGTTCTACAGCCAGCCTAGCCTCCAGTCTCTAAGGGAATAGCTTGACATATAGATAGATAGATAGATAGATAGAGATAGAGATCCTGTCCTTTTTTCTGTTTTTCTTTTATGGCTTTAGGTTGGGTCTCATACTTTTGCCCTGGACTAACTTCAGAACATGATACTCCCACCTAACTGGGATGACAGGCTTGAACCACCACACCTGGCCTACCCTGTTTGTGCTTTAACAAGGTGGTCTCCATGCTGACTACTGGATATTGAACAGTTCTTTACTATAGTGTCACATAGTGATCTCTCTTTTATTTAAGACAGTCTTCAAATAAGCAAGTTTTAAAATATGTAACAAATATCCCCTAAACTCCAAGTCAAATAACCTAAAAGTTTCTTCAAATTTTACTTAACATGATAAATTTTCAAATTTCCTGCTCACTTTGCTGTATTCTTGCTCTAGGTTGT